GTAGCATGAATTGCTTTCTTATTTATGTTCTCTACTGAATCCAAAAATCAGTATTTATAACCTTCAGCCAAGTGGACAAATTATGTACATCATTCCTAAAACCTGTACTGTCTTTGGTGAAAGTGTTTTTGCAGCCTCATCTTGTAAACTAAATAATTTTATAAGCATGGAAGATTACACAAACAGGATTAATTAATTTATTTGACCACTGACTGCACATATCCTGTTACTGAATACCGCCAACTCATTGTTTGATGTAATTTCCTGTTTAAGTGTCCTGCTTGTGTTGTTCATGGGAAATTTTTTTTCATGCTGTCTTAACGTTTTACTGTTTTGTTTTAAGTCTGTTGTTTGTTCTTTTATGTGAAGCTTTATTCTGCTGCTTTGGCCAGGACTCCCTTGTAAAAGAGATTTTGAATCTCAGTGGAAATATTCCTCATAAAATAAAGGTCAAATAAAAATAAATATATAAATAAACAAGACTGATGAGAGCAGTCAGGGTGAATAAAAACAATCAATATGGACCAAAAAAACAATACACAACATGAACGCTCCCTACAGCTATGAGTGACACCTTTCGCATTAGACACAGTTGTTTGATCCATTGCAACTTAAAATTATTGAAAAATAATGTACAGTAGATCATAAAACAGTTATGTTGTTTTTACTCCGAAGGACCAGTTAATTTAAAACATCTTAAATGTCAAATATGAAATTCTTCGAAAAAATTAATGTCATAAAATTCAAAAAGGATAAATATTAGCAATATAATATTTTCAGTGGTTCATCAAGCACCAAACTCTGGTGTGTACTAATGATTTTGACCTTTAGTTCCCTAAAATGTAATTAAAACCATCAGTCACTGTTTCACAAGGAGAAATAGTCATTATGCAAATGTTTTGCTCTCCACTGGGTTCTTTAAACGTTCTGCTGACATTGCACTGTCCCCATACTAAACTTACAAAACAATTGCTGTGATGAAGATGGCTCCATTAGTTATGGATAATTATGTTTTAGTCACACACCCTTTGCAAATTTCTTTGGTTAGTGGAAGTCATACTGTTTATAGTAATAGATCCATTTGTGTAGTTGGGTTCAGGTTTTGGTGACACAAAACTGAAAAAAACAACTTAAACCTTGAGGGGCATCTAAACTGGAACATGTGCACCAAGTTACATGTCAGCTACACGTATCGTTCCTGATTCCTCTTAACTCTATGGAGAATTTCAACATCTCTCAGGTCAATGTTTTGGTTTAACAGCTTTTGGGCAACTTTGCTGTTTTAGTTCACTCTCAACACTTTAATCAGAGGCAGGAAGTTCTGCTAAACCCACTGTACGCTACTTTCCCAGCACTAAATGTCAGACAGACAAAGATAGAAACTAGCTGGCGAATAGTGGAGCAAATTTTTTCCCGGAGCTCAAAGGACAGTGAGTGTTGGACTAAAATTTGTCAGGTGGCCAGACAACAAAAAGTGGATATTAAAGTTTGCTCCATGTCTGCTCCATATAAATAAAGATATATTTGACAACATGTTACCATATAAACATAAAACGGTGAAAAGTCTGTTATGTTTATAGCTTGTTCGGCTGGCCACAACACCTGATTATTTTATCCCACACGCAGACTTTCTTCAGTTACTTAACAGCAGTTAGACCAATTAACTAGATTAAATGACTTAACATGCATATTTTTGTAGCAAAAATCAATACCAATCATATGTTGTAATATTTAACCAAGAGTGATATGTACAGAACAAAACAACCATAGTCTGAGGCAGCTGAGAACCCAAGAGTTTATCTTCCAGTACCAACAACCTGGAGATCCTGCCCTCAGGTGACTCTTCTTGGTCTCATTGAGGAGTTTCTTTCCGTGGATATCCTGAAAAATGTGTGCAAGAGAGAGAAAGAGATCTCAGGCTCTACCTCACATGAACCCAGAGCAGAGACACTGCATGGGTCGAGTTACTAAACAACAGCATGAATCAAACCTTGTTGGATACCCACAGCAGCCTGCAGTCACAATAATTATATTTCCATCAACTTCATCAAACACTTTATTCATCTTTTGGAGACACTTGAAACTCTTCTCCCCAGGCTCTGAATAATAATCAGCTTTGAGAAAAAAAAACATGAATCCATTTCAATAAATATGTAAATAATCTGATGTAAACACATAGATAACACCAAGATAAGATATAAATTCCTCTCTCGTAGCAGCACAACTGAGGGACTTTGTTGATCAGGGATTTCAGTTCCTGTCATCTGGAACTCGCTTTGTTTACACAAACATCATGCAGCATTAAACATCAATGCACTTTTTGTCTCCCCGAGGCAGAACGGCTCAAAAATCAAAGCAACTCAAAGAAGCCGGTACCAATACTCTACACGTCAACTTTTACATTTTTAGGAAGACATCATATTGCACTATGAATAACCTCTCACTTGTAACAGCATAACATACATACAGTATCTGGACTTACTGTTGACTCCACGTGTCTGAACAGACTTGCTGCACTTTCAAATACAGTACAGGATAAATATTTGACATGTGAAAATTTACATACTGAAATGGACTATACATCATCACTTGGTCCACAAGTTTCATATCTCCAAGTCTCTTCCAAAGACATGTGTTGGCACAGAGGTTATCTTGATAGTCAGCATGATAGAGGTTCAAGGACCCAACGTTTAATTTGCTCCGTGATAATATACTTATATCTCGATGCACATCTTTTTACAAGAATACATTTAATACCATATTCTTCACACCTTGGTTGTCTTCATTAATCAAAGAAGTCGTTCCTTCAAGGAAAGAAAGAACAAGCTACATTACGCCTTATAATATGGCACACAGTGCTTCTTTTTCACCTTAGTCTTAAAGGATAGGTTCAGATTTTTTGGCATGGGGGCATTGTTTTAAGATGTACTTAAAACAAGACTAAGAGTCTACAGTCATGCTAGCGGCTCTGAGAGGCTGTACTTAGGCACAGTGGTACTTTGAGTTAGACGCTAATGTTAGCATGCTAACACACTTGCAATGACAATACGCTATTTCAGCAGTCAACCCAAAGTACAGCTAAGGATGATGGCAATGTTAGTTTTTAAGGTCATAAACCTAACTATTGGACAAATTGAAATTTTTATGAAAAGTTTAGGGTTACCAAAGTTATTTCAGTTCATCCCGAGACAACATGAATGTTTGGACCAAATTCCATGGCATCCAATGTTTGCTGAGACATTTTATTCAAAACCACAAATCTCAACCTCATGGTGGCACTAGAGAAAAGGTCTAGTATTCATCCATTGGGCACCATGGACATCTGAAGCAAGTTTCATGTCAATCCATCCAACAGTTGTTAAGATATTTCAGTCTGGAAAGTGGTGGACCAACCACCAACATTACATTGTCATCCCTAAAGCTGCTAGCATGGATAAACATGAACCTATCCTTTACCTTTGAAATTTGGCACATTTTACACTTTCCCCTGAGGATCATCATCACCCTTCTAGTTATCTCAATATAATAATGGACATTGTTATTGTTATTAACAATATCAAAAGCTACATTATTAACACTTTAAATACTATTTTGAAAAAAACAATAACATTATCTTCATTTTACAGAAGATACTACAGAAGCTGCTGTGCAGCTCACAGCTGTACAGACGATATGCTTTCATAGCTGCTCTATCACTTGATGCCCAAATTGGAGATATCAAAACATTAAAAATGTATTTAGGGAATAATACTGGGCATCAGTGAAGTTTTGGAATTAAATAGCATTATGGCATTTCCATCCACATCTTTACACTAAACAAACTCAGCATGAATAATCATTGACAAGCATGTACAGTTCTTCTTCTGTATAGTTCATACACACTCATTTTTTTTGCTTTATACATTGTCCAATGAGCTCCTTTATTTGCTTATTGGCAGTGTTGAGTCTTTTTTTTTAATTGGTCAGTCCATCAGCCCCAGGTTGGGTATCCATTCCACTGGGATGAAACATGAAGGCATCAAAAAGCACAGGAGGTTGAACACAAGCACAACTGAACTCAACTGCTATGGTAAAATATCTTTGTAGGTCTCATTAATCCAGGTATTCGAATATCGAGTTGAAATTAAACTATCCACTGGACTGCAGCAAAACATCTTCAATTCTGCAATAACGTTCCAGTGAGTAGTTTAACTTCAAAGGGACACTGCTCTGGTTTAAGTACACAAGGCTGGTGGTAAAGCAGGGGCTCTGCTGAGGGTTTTGCTCACAGCTAACTGTATGTAGCTAAAGAAGAGGCAAAGGGCTACACTCCCAGAGTTAATTAAGGGATCATGTTATGAGGCGAGTTTAAAGAAAACAAAACTGAAAATGGCAAAAGAAAGAAGACCAAAACTGTGGCAACAGAAAAAAATATGCAGACACTGAAACAGGGCTTTTTCAGGAGGTCTTGTCTTTTGTTAGACATTGCGTGGGTATGCTGTCTACTGGCATCAACATCTTTGCTACATAATGATCATCTTTTGTATCATCAGCCTCCACACATACACACGTTAGTCAGACAGGATGCACCATTTTCCATAACGAGAGACAGAATTTATGCTCCTCAGGCTGCATTGTCTTGTGTGTACTGAAGATGAGAAAGGTACCTGCAGAGCAGTGCAGTACTGTTGAGTAATAGCTTGATGAATGTCATACTATCTTTTTAGTGACTTTTCTTTCAGAAGTTCAGAACTTCCTCTGTCTGACCCTAGAGGGAGCTACAACTGTGTTTCACTGACAAAATGACATAAACGAAATTCTAAAGGATAATACAAAGGACAGATAGCACTAATGAACTGAAGACTTCAATGATAAGAGAGAGAAATTGTATCTGCATCAACATCTCTCTATATTTCTTAATGTTGTGTGTATGTCAGGTACAATACAATGTAGATGCCTACTTTTTGATCATTGCTGATTTGATTTTGCTTAATTAAAAATAATCTGCAGACAGAATGAAAGGGATTTGGGTCTCCTAAACACACTTGTAACCAACACCCATACTGGCACACACATCAAACAGCTGCAACCCACACTGTCTCAGTTTTCTCAGAATCAGTCAGTGTGTGTTCGATTCTCCTATAAGGGCACAGAAACTTGTTCTTTGACGTCTCCTTAATGATCAGCAAGCTTTCATCTCACACTAAGTAAGGCTGGGACTGATGGCGCATACACACCCACAACACACCAGACACATGTGGACACTATCAGTGAGACTAGCATGGTCTTACAGCGCCTGGGTTTGCTTGCGTTCCCACTGAGCTGACACCACAGAGAATATTGCCTGGCTAGGTTGACTCCACAACTCCACGTCCGCCAGAATCTGTGTGAGTGCAGGAACGCATGGCCACTAGCCATAAGTGCGTGTATGTCTCTTGCTAGTATGTGTCTGTATGATGACTTGGGCATGGTTGTAATGCGTGTGTGAAAGAGAGAGAGTGTGTGTGTGTGTGTTTGTGTGTGTGTATGCGTAGGAGTGTGGTGACCTACAGCTGTGATGTGGATCACCAGTATCCACTGTTGTGAATGAGAAGGATAAATAATCCAAGGTGCTCTCTGTTAGCTGTTTGATACTAAAGCCAAATGCATGTGAACAGAGCATAGAACCAAGCAGTCCCACAGCAGGCCCAATTTGCCAGCATTCAAAGCAGCTTGACCCCAACCCACCTGACATGAATGCAATCATTGAGCAAGAACGGAGAACATTGGGTGTCCCAGGAGGCTGGTAGTTTTTCTCCTTCCAGATTTCAGGGCTGCTGCACAGACCTAAGACTGCACTGCCAATGTGTCAGCAGATCGACACAGTGACACTGAACCCCCTGAAAACAATCAAGCATTGACGTCCAGTCTAATCAAGGGATAAGCCTAGTGAATCAGCTATACGACAGAGATGGTGTGACTCATGGAAACAGACGTGATGGAATGAGAGAAAATGTGAATGGAAAAATTGGAACAAAAGAAATTATGATTATTTTGGTTTGGATAGCTGTTGGAGAGTGAATGATATTCCCTCACAGACACTCTGGATGTTGGCTTTTCCATCTGTCTACTGCCTTTGTGTGGGTTCTGTTGCACTTGTGTTTATTCTGTTGCGTATTCAGTGTGTTTATGTGAGCCAGCTCTTATTCTCGAGGTGGTAGATCGTAGACCCAAACAGGGAGATGTGTGAATGCTGTGGATCACCTCCTCGCCTTTTTCTCTCCAGTTGTCTTAGAACCTGGTGCTCTCATGTTTCAGCATGCGGATGTTGGTAAGCGTCCCGCTGCCCCTGTGGTGGTACCCGTAAGCCTGGCGCTGCCCCTCCAGTCACCGAGCGCTGCTGCCTGCCGATGACATGCTGCTGCTGGGACTGGAGCTGCCCGAGCCCCGGTCTTCAAACACGCTGATCTCTAGCTGAGGACACGAAGAATGTCAAGGATCATCATGATGGGGAGAGTATTAAAATACAGGGCGGACTTCAAAATCGACAAGTTTCTGCACTGCTTACACCACATTTTTGTAATGTTATGTGGGGGTGCACAACCCAGATGAGGTACACTCATGAGATGTTACTTGGAGAGATCAGTGACTGAATGTTTCCTGTTGCTTTCTCATTGGATACTGCGTATTTCCCATCTCAGCCTCGTCTCAAAGGTACTCCAAATACCATCGCATCTTGTTTTTGGCTATGATAAAATCAAACATGTTTAAAAAGGAAGCGTGTAACATCTGGAACTTATGACAAGGTCGAGATATGTCTCAATATTGCTCAAATTAGATGTGCGGATTGGCCCACTCAAGGGTTTTTGACTTGCATCTCAAAAAATAGTCTGGGGCTGGCAATTCAAGGCAAAAGTCATTTTGTCTTCATTAGGCTTTAATTGCACCCAATATGGCTTGGCTCTAGCCAAGGGTCCCAATATGATGGGCAACAAGACCAGTATCAAAGCAAGAATTAATTTACTTAAATTGGACCTTAATAATAATAAAAATATACAAATATTATAGAGGTTCATGCTGAGAGATCAACCAAACAAGAAAAACAAATGAAACACATGCTTCTCCTCTCTGGGAGAATGATTTCTCTAACTAGCCTTCACAAACAGAGGCCATATTATATAGGGCTGTATTGACTAATAAGTATTGGTAATAGGTTGGCCCCATGACTTGGAGCCTGTTCCTTGAGCCAGACCTGTGTGATGGTCTACTGGACACATTCTTTCTCTCCTTCTGCCTTTTAACTACATGAGAAACTGTGCTGGGATCACTCCAACTGACAAAGAGAGACTCACTGCTGAAAATCTAAACTATAAAAGAATATATACGACGAATGAAGTGAATAGTTAGAAGCATTTAAAAAAAGATTCTGATACAATATCTTATTTTGGGGTGATAAAACAGAAGAAGATGGCTTGAGCAAAAAAAATAACTCATCATCATAAGTGCATACACACCTTAGGCTGCTGATTCACGCCACCTTGTATTTTTCACCTTTTGTTTTCAAAGGACATTCGACAGAGCATGCATGCTTTTTTCAGCCCTGCCCTGCTTCAAATGTACTCCTGGGAAAGATAGTTGGTCATTGAACAGCTCCTCTACAGCATCTGGAGTTTAAGTGCTTTGTTCAAGGACAACTTGATGGTAATATATGAGTAAGCTATATCCAACCCAGATGTTTCTAGCAGTGCTTCTAACTGGTGACCTTCTACTTATGATGCCTGGTTTCTAAAACCTCTAAACTAATGCCACCTCCTATCAGTCTTCTATATGCCTGCCTGTCCTGTCTGGGCATTTATCATACTTTAGCGTGAGTGAAGGATACAACCCGCATTCCTCTCTCTATGGGGTCTGTGAGCAGCAGACCTCTGGGAGCGTAGACCTTCTCATTCTGCTCCTGGATGTAGCCTGATATCTTCTTCAGCACCTGGTATAAAACAGGGGTGTGGAGAAGGGTTAGAGGAGGACAGAGGTACATTTGGAGATAATCCAGATTTGATTTGAACAATTGGAGGCAAGATGAAAACCTACATGTGGTCTGGCAAAAAATAATCTGAACAGACATTACAACTGAGGATCCATTACCTGCATATTACTATTCAAAGTGCACCTAAGGGTACCTACAGGAAGCTAAACATAGGCAGGGCTGCAATAACTTTAACCTCCTTCTGTGCTGTCTTGGGTGGAAAATATGAAAAATGGAAGAAATGAGTTTGCAGTCCTTCTGCGCATAGTTAGCATACGGCATATGATACTGACTCTCGCGAGTCATTGGCCGTCTTTATTTTTCCTGAACATTATAATCTAAACTCAAAGTAATTCCATTATGCTCTAAGTACGGCAGTTATTTTTATACATAGTTCCAAGCCACTCATGTCAAGCAAGGCTGCATGAATTGAATTACTAAAATTGACGAGCCTGAGCTTTTTTCTTTTTGAAGTTTTCCATTTGGAAGCTTTAGTTCCTAATTCCAAAGATGGCTCTCTCAGGCTAAATGTCATGCCTTGGTTAACTGTCGGGGCAATTTGGAAACACTCTAAAATGTGAGGTGGACAGTTTATTTAGATTGCATTGGCAGTGGTCTTATTTCTCAGTTTTGCAAGTGAGTATTGCATCAACTGTGCAAAAACCACAGAGCAGCAGTGGAGTGAAGCTAAGCACTAAGTTCAGACCATGCCTTGGCACACAAATTCAAAGAAGCATGCCTGTATACATCTCCTACGCATTACAACTACACACACAGTTTGCCCTGGAGACTAGAAGACTGTTTTAGAAAACCTAGCGGTGATGTAGTCCCAGGTTGCTGCTGATAGCAACCAAATGACCGCTGACTGATGGCCAGGGATGCTAAAGGCACAGATATTAGCTAAAGTGGCATCATTAGAGCAGCTTATTCAGCCTCAGATATGCCTCTGTGGACAGCAACAATGCTGATGTGCCATGCCTCCCTTGAACTTTGCCTAACCATGTCAATCAGCTAAACCATGCTTTGCTGGGCCTTATGTACACTGAGAAAGCTGTCACGACTCCTAAAAAGGATGTGCAGTCTTTAGCACATCTGCGTGTCCATGCTGAAACAACACAAATTTGTATCACTTAAAGAAAAATGACAGCATGACATATTGTATATGTATGTATATTGTACTGTATGTTAAAGGAAAACACTGGCTTTCATAGCTTTAGCATCAGTTTCTACTCACCAAGTTAACGGCTGAGATCTGGGAACACATTGCTGAAATTAAGTCCAATTGGGCAAGAAACATGAGCAGTCAGATGATCAGATAAGTTGTAAACAAGCAAACGGTTTAGCCATATTATCTACAACTTTATTAGGACGTTAAACTGAAACTGACTGCACTTGAAAGTTTGACTAACCTAGGGGTTTGTTTAGAACTTGTATGATTGTCTGAACATTTGTGTTTTTTTCCCAGTCAGACTTCTTTTAGCACAATATTAAAACTACAAAAACAGCATTCAAGTTACAAGCTACAATCATCCTTGAACGCTGTATTTCGATGTAACTTTTGTGTGCATTTCTTAACAGACTCATTCAACACGACAGATTCATATCCTCTTTTGTAAGTTAACTAAAGGTCACTGCAGCACTCTCAGCCTTGAGAGATTAAAACAATAGAGACTGAGCAACACACTGAGCAGTGCTCCTCTGGGATGTCAAAGGCCTGTTACAGCTGCAGGCACAGCTGCTAATATAGTGACCCCTGCTAGTGAAGACTAAACCACAGAAGAATACTTCTTTCTGTCTCCCATTGGAAGAGGAAGAAGAGACTTTTGCTGTGTAATGTCTGGATAATGTTACAACCGGGGAGTAAACAAGAAATGAAACTCCTTAGTGAAAAGCCATTTAAGAAGCCATCAAAAGGCAGTGGTTTGCTCCATCGCGCTGCTTTAAATCAGTCAGATCTATGTCGAGTATACCTAAGCAGAAAGCATCAGTATTTGGCTTGGAACAATGACAATATATTCACAAAAGTCTTAACACAACTGTGTCTTTTGTTAAAACTCCCATCAAAGCGAATCAAACATCATGGAGAGGAAGCAGAGACACACGGAGCAGAGCCCTGACTAATAGGTTTATTGTGGTGCAGGAAAAAGGCCAGTCTTTTCACTGCTAGCGAGTTCTCTGGGCAGCTCAATCGTCTTCAGCGTAACAATATGACTGTTTGTCTGTTGTATTGGCATGTGTGTGTGACAGCCCTTCTGGGAAAAGCTCTGTGAGTGTGTGTGTGTGTGTGTGTGTGTAGGTGTGTGTGTGTTTATATTGCCTATAAGAAGCAAATGTGTCACAGTCTGTTTCACATGCATGTTATGAGTGTGTATTCCTCTGCCAGAATGAAAGCTGTTTATGTCACAAGTGCAATATAAAGGGACTGATGTGTGTATTCATGTGTCTGAGAGAGTCCCAAATGTGCAGCCACATTCTTGTGAATAATACAGGATGAAAAATAGGAGATGGAGGGCACATACTATACGTGAGGGAAGCTTTATGAATGCTTGTGTGCACATGCATCTGTTCTGACATGCTGGGAGCAATCAGTGTCTTTTGATAGGGTGAGATATAAGCTTCAAGGGCTCTGGGTGCTCCAATGAATCTGAACACTGATCCATGCTCAGTGGTGTGTGGCCTCTTTATCAGCACACACATGCGCACACACAGCATCTACTTGGGTGGGTATATTTGATCATCGTCAGTCATAACCTCATTCAGCCAAGATGATTAAGTTAAACAAGTAAATAAACAACTCTCCTGTGGGGCTGATAGTATCTCAGTGTCTCAATGGAGCGGCACCCAGCTGACAGGGAGATGAAAGGAGCCCCAGAACAGACTATTTCTGCATGGCTTCAACACAGCAATAAGTCCTTTTGTGCTACTTGGTCAAGCTCCAAGTCCCTCTGTACCGCTTTGATAAAGAAATGTTTACAAAACGCAACAAGACTAGGGAGATGAATGTTGTGGGTGACAGAGATCAGAACAGAGAGGCATGCTGGGACTTCACGCCACTCCAATTTCTTCTAAAACACCGGCAGGTACCGATACAGTCACAAGAGGATTAATCAAACTCACTGTGTATGTGTCTGTGTTATGTATGCGTGTGTTCTTGTTCCATCTCATGGAGCGACAAGCAGCAACAGAGGTTTAATCACCCGCCCTTTTCTCAAGATGGACATCTTGGTTGCGTTGAAGGTAAATGTCATGTCACAGCTGGCGTGCCATGCCTTGCCCACCGGTACACAGGTTTAGCCTTTGGAGCGGGTTTTAATAGTGGACGGACTTCTGAAGGGAACGTTGTGCAAAACAGAATCAGATCTTATCTCCTGTATTTTGGCTCTGCTGCCTTGTGTGTTCTGACCTCAGAGTCATAGTTCACTCAAACACACATTTGAATGCTTTTGTAAGTGAGAGAGAGGTGGCTTCCATAAAAATGGACAAATATGACAGTAAATGAGTGTTTTGGATAGACAGTGGAGTTTACAATAACCAGCTGTAAATGATTAATGGTGGAGCTGAAATATTCCTACGATGACATTAATATTCTACTGCACACTAATAGGACCCAGATCTATTTAATACCTTCATACCTTTAATATTTTAATATTAAAATTATTTAATGCTTGAATATTTCTAAGAGGGTACTGGGTTCGAACCTGCTGCCCGCTGGGGCCGTTCTGTGTGGAGTTTGTATGATCTCACAGGGCTTGCGTGGCTTTCTTCCAGGTGCAGAAGACTTGCAGGATATATAATAGGGTAGGAATGCTAAATTGCCTGTGGGTGTGAATGGCTGTTTGTCTATATGTATTAGTTGTGTGAAAGACCTGTCTAAAGTGTAATATAAGCTAGGATAGACTCTATAGCCCTACTGCAACCCTCAACAGGATACGCGGGTTAGAAAATGGATAAATGACTATTTATCTATGTACAGCACAAGACCACTGAGACAAGCTGTGTTTTTTCCCATAAGGCTTCATCAGTTTTCTCTGTGATCCATAATATAACAGACTGTGTTATGAGATTGTGGCTTCTGAAATAATAATTGAAGTTTCTATAGGGGGTCTGTTTTAGCTGCAGAAAGATAAAACACTGAGTAACCATTCTAAAAAAAAGCTCTATAAAAAGTCAAGCTTACTGTGCTCTAAGGAAATATTAAGGTTATAAAAAGCTGTGGGGGCTTTAAGGAGTAATTAAACATTTTGGAAATGTTTGTTTTTATTCCAAGAGAAGATGAAAAGGTTGATACCACTCTCGTGTCCTTGCGTTAAGTATTGAGCTAGAGCCAGAAGGCATTTTTACAACAGACATTTTGACTTGTCATAGTTGAAAACACAGGCTTTACTAAAAACATCAACGATGGCTCAGTTCTATTCAAGTGTGCCAATGTACAATACCAAGACCCTGAAACTGAAGCAGCTACATGGAATTCAGCCATCAATGATTTTATTATTTACACCTGTGCTTTTGAGACCTGTTGGCCTATGTTAGCATAAAGACTGGAAGCAGGGGTAAACAGCTACCCTGTCCAAAGTAAAAGAAAAAACATATGCCTCCCAACACCTCCAAAGCTCACTAACTGTCTATCTGTCCATCGTTACAGAACGTAACACTAAACCATCAATTGTCGTTTTGGTCTGTTTGTTTACAGACTAAACAAATGAGATACAAAGTGTTGATAAGAAAGATTTTGAGATTTTGAACTTTGGAGAGAGCAAGGCTAGCTTCTTCCCCATGCTTTGAGTTTACTGTTAATTGTTTACTGGCTCCCTATAAAACACACAAACATGAGAGTGGTATGATCTCATCTAACTCTCAGAGACAGAGCAAACACAAGTGTTTCCTAAAGCTATCTGTGTTTAATTCTTATTTGTGCACTCCTCTTTGCATAGATAAAACTCTTTAGGTAAATGCTCTTTCTAGTCCACAGGTGGTAATGTGGTCATTTTGTGTGCTAGCATTTATGTGTGCACAGGTTTATTTATTACCTTCTCATAGCGTGTCTCCATGCAGAGGAAGATGATATAAGCTGTTGCACAAGCCAGACATCCCTCCAGATACGACTGACCTCCAATTTTTTCTGCCTCCACATAGTAAGAGTTCAGGGTCTTCACCGTCTCCTCAAGCAAGGTTCGCTCAATCTACTTACAAACACAAACAAGCATCCAGGTAGAGGTATATGGAGGCATGCACACACCATAAAGACTGCGAAAGTGAAAAGTGTTGTGGCATTATTGTGGGAGCAAGCTGTTCAGCTATAAAACACCCTGCCAAACATACCAGCAGCATTCTTCTCAACCCAAAATTTAGAAACACACATCACTTTCAGAATATGAAGAAACAGCTAAGGTGAAAAACTACATGCATGGATAGTGGTTTGAGCATCTGACAGAGAGCATTTATAGTGAAGTGATACAGATTTCAATTTTTTTCTAATGGTTCTTTTACTCTGACTCCTTTTGTGTTTCTTGCTTTGCGTGTGTGTGTGGACTGTGCTTCAGATGGTAATTGCTAGACAAACCTACAATAATGCCCCTACATAACACCATTCACAAATGCTGAAGCTAAAAAGAGCTAATTTGCACCTCAAATAAACTGCACAAAGTAAGTGTTAAGTGAGAAAATAAACACAAGGCTTCTTCTTCTTCAGCGTTACCTTCCCTAAAGGACACAGAAGAGTTTTAATATAGTTGTGAAACTTCTATTCTGGTTTTGTCTTTGAGTTTGAACTGCAGGATATTAGAGGTCATGCTGCAAAAGTTTATATCCATCTATGGATGGGGTAGAAAGTGCATCTTCAAAATTATCATACTTTTTCATTATGCTATTAGTAGCTATGCTCCATTTTCCATTTAGAAAGTCTCCTTTACAGTATGTATACGTATTAGTGTATGACTGTGTGAACGCCAATATCCACCATTCACACGTGCTCTGTTATCCAGGATGCACCACTAGGGTGATCTTGTTAAGCTATATTGTGCCATCACTCTTCCTGTCTTGGAGAATGTGGATGTTGTTTTAGGTAAATTGGGATTTTGCCAACATATTACATTTGCCTGTGTGTGTATATATATCTGTGAGTGTGTGTTTGTATTTCACTCACCCTGTTGTCAAGCTCTGAGGGGAACTTGGACTGGAAGCGGCAGACAGTACCTTCGCTGTAGTCTCTCTGTATAAACACCTTTGTTACCAGCGATGCACTGTGCCTCAACTCCTGAAGGTTATGGAACTAAGCACACAACAAGGGAAAAGCAAGCGTTAAATTTGTGTTCCTTAAAATACATTTATATTCATGTAGGTAAAAGAGTAGCAGGTCTTTCTTTGCTTGAGTGTTTCTAGTGCTATGCTAGAAACAGAAAATTCCAGTCTGATTCCAGTTAAAAACCACTGATTGTTTCTGAACTTTTTTTCACTTTTGCAACAGATGGTGGAGATTTACAGTACAGTATATAAAGTAAGATGCATAAAAGGGATGAACAGTCAAACTTAAGTCAGACCTATCTCATTATCTAAATCCACTTCTTCACAGCGGTTCTCAGTATCAACGCCTCTACAATATTAACATAAAGTTATCCAATATTTCCAGACAGTTTTTAATTGTATTTTTGTCTGACAACATGGGCGAAACAGGGCTACACAGTGAGGGAATGGTACTATGTTACTACTTAAACAGCAGTGCAGGCTTAGTTAGCACTCTCACTGCAATCCTCCAACATCAATAGGCCTAATTGCAGTAATAACGAAACACTCTAAAAGACTCTCCTTTACAGCACTTTGGTGCTGAGTGGTGTGTTTTACACCCAAACAGTCATTCCCCTGAGAAGCATACAGCAGCGACCAAGTGGGCCAGTGTAACTTGTCCCCTGCTGATCTAAATTACTCCCCTCAAGAGGATGGTAATTAGAGATCCAGTGGGTGTGTGGAGGGAGGGAGAGGGAGGGATAAACAAAAAGGGGGTGAGTTTTTTATTACCTTCAGAGCCTCAAACAACTCCATATTTTACAAAAATCTGTTTTTATTTCAAATACAATATTTTCAAAATTGTATTCTTTGGCTTATCACATCCAAAGTCTGGCTAGCTACTGCAGTGTTGTTATTAGTAAAATCAAGCAGAGCCTCTGTTTATGATACCTGCATGTATAAACCCTAGAGAGTCATTTCCATGTAAGCAGACATAGTACAGTGCCAGCCTTTCATCTCTATATAGAGTGTATCACTCACAACTAGGAATAGCATCCAAGTTGCTATTTTTGTCAGCTAAACGCCAAAATCATCTCACAGCCACTAGATCTTTCTGTCTGCCAGAGCTTTTAATATCCTTCTTTTTCCCTTCTCCATCTTTCTAACACTGCCCCCCCTCCTCATCCTCCTCCTCCCACGCTATCTTCAGGCCATCATGATGAACAACAAGTCGCTCTATTAATAGAAGCAATTATCAGCACAAGATTGAGCATCATTTATCCAAGTTAGAATCAGCTGGCCGAGAGTCGGGTTCATTAAGATTATACACGTCCTTTGCTTGTGAGTGTGAGAATGTGTATGGGTATGTGTATATGTATGTGTATGCTATGTGTATGTGCGTGTACACAAATGGAACATGCTGTATTACAAGTAGAGTTAGGGTTAAACTTGTAGGTTAAACTTGTTTACTTCAAACAGATATTAGCAGTAAAAAGTTCTCAAGTATCCAAAGTAAGAGTTCACTACCAAATGTAAACCCTAACATGTCCAGTTTTCTGTATTTTCATGCTTTCAGACTTGTTAAAAAAGGAAAGAGGGGAGAAAGGGAAAGAAGAATGGTAAAGGAAGAGAGACAGAAAGGAAGAAAGAAGGAATTAAAAACACTGGAACAAAGAGGAAATATGGAAGGAAAGAGGAAGATAAATGAGACAGACACGGGGATACTGAAGCGAAGGCAGAGGAAAAATATGGGAAAAAAATCAAATAAAGGAGAGAAGGAAGGAGAAGAAAACAAGAAGGAAAGAGGGGAAGAAAGAAGAAAGGATGCAGATGTTTTAGTTGACAGGAGTCCAGTCCAGAGGCATCTGAGTGAAATGATTCACATGCACTGTATTCAGGCCAGTGGGACGTCACAGTGTGTTTTGGCCTGTCATTGTTGACCTACTGACCTCCGCCTTACATCTCTGTGCTACATGTAGCTCGCAGCTGAGCAAAGCAGGCAGGAGTCATGTGTCTCTGAGGCCATCAATTAAAACACTGAGTCCATTTATTTGTCCTGACACAGGATCTCGGAGGATGATTTTAATGAATGTGGAAACATGTGTTCCAGAGTTTTAAACTGATTAGCCTGATGGGGATCTTGTGGTTAAAGGTCAAAACAGGATACATCTGACAAAAGTGGTCCAAACCAATGTAGTGCTTACATATTGTGACACCCTGTTCCAGCATTTGAAAAGATGAGAGGCAATATGTTTCCTTTTTTAACATCTGTGTTAAGGCCTCTTAGATTTCCTGAAAACAAAACTGCGTAAATGTTTCACATGTCACACTGTGCGAGATAGCTTTACATACTGTACAATCTCAGTTCAACTGTGCAATGAATGTGTGCTGAATTGTAGCGCTATGATGTAAATGGAAGAAGTATATGAGAACAAAGACATGTCACCAGCTTGCGTCAACCATCCGAGCCTCTTTTATGTTTTTGAAAATGGAGATCCGCAAAGGTTTTCCTTTCCCACAAACTTTTTTGTTTTGCCTACATCGTTTTGGTTTGTGTGTATTATTCCTAAACTTTATCACAAAATGTTGCTTACTAAGTGTCGCGGTTTTGTCTGTAGACAGAATTTTTGGTCACTTAAATAGATCCCCAGTGTGTTCTGTGTTTTCTCTGTTTTGACAACCAAAGATTTTACAACATTGCTCTCACCATTGTCAACTTTTGTCTCAGACAGCCTAATATTGCCCTTGTCCTAACACAATCACACCTACAAACACATAAACTCACTCACACACACAACATGCAACCCACGTTTAAACATTTACCAGGGCTGGTTTTAATATCCTGTTGATTGTTTTTCATTATATGTAAATATTATGTAAACGTACAATGTGCCAAAGTCCTACAACAGCTATACTGTGTTGATACTAGAGGACTTCATGAAATATTTCTTTGGTCACATGGTGTTGATGTTACTGACAAAGTGGCCTTGGCTGTGTCCATTATGCATTAAAGATAAATGTTTTCTGTTGGCAGAGTGCTGATATTTACTTTCCTGCGTGGGAGATCGGGGTTAAAATCCAGTCTATTACTGTGTCTAAATATAGTACACAAGCAGAGAGCAATGTTAAAATGTCATACTGATCACACAGGATTCTATTAAGAAGCTCTGCATCGCGCTGCACTGCCTGACTTCTCCTTCCACCCACATAACTATTACTTTTAGTCTAGTTTACATAGTTTACATTTGTTTGCACATTCATTAAATGCAGAGGGGAAATAAACAAAGTGAAAATAAGCTACAAAGGGAGGACTTATCAGTAGGGGGAAAATGCTCATAGTATGACATAATAGGGATTCAAACTCTACACAGTTCAAAGTTTTCTGACAAAGGATTTTCTTTCATATTTTATAAGCAGAAATAGCCACTGTCTATTCTACTTCAGTCTAAACCAAAAGTAAAATATAACAACTTTTAATGTACTTTGTTTATCATTTCATTGTATTCTTACTTTGATACCCTCCCCCTCGCCTATTTATTTGCTCCAGCTTGAATCTGTGGGACTGTGTGACTCTCATGGTCATGACGTTTCCTAGTTTAGTCACTCCGACTCAAGAAACACACAACGACAGCATGGGTGAGTGCTGCCAGTGGGCAGACATTGCAAAGGGCACACACGATTAGAGCGCGCACAGTAAATGCACTCAGGGTTAGACATTTCATTCTCATCTCACAGCTCTTTCAACATTTTTCTTACTGTCAGCTCTCCCTTTTCATCTCTTCGTAATATAACTGGTTTTCTGCCATTGGGAGCAGAATTTTTCAGGTTTACTGCCAAGCTGGGCTAGCCAGAGGTCTATAAATCATTAAAGTTTAGACAGTGTTGACAAAACAGTCAAATTTCCATGACATCTAGGTGGAAGATCAGCGACTGTGGGACCAAAGCTGGAAGAGGAAATCTTTTTTTGGATAAAGGTGGAGCATTGTTTCAGCAGAGAGCTGAGCTTTTTGCCAACCTCTGAGATGATTACTGTGCTCCGACACATTATTCGTCAACAGCGTAATCCTCGAGCCAGGGCTAGCCTGCAGGCTGAGTGGAGGATCTGGCAGTAGAGGACTTAATGAATCCAAAGACCGTCCATGCAGCACAAACAGTCTGCAGTATGAGCTGATTGTTACTCAGTCACTTAACGTGGTCATTTGCTGACTTGGCATACAATAAATGTCAAAGAATGAGTTGTAATATAAAGTGAGACAGTGACGGAAGGGGGGG